GTCCTGGCCTCTAGCTTCTGCCTCCGGCTCATCTATACATCAGTGTTCCCTACTCGAATATGGTCATCAGGTCACTCCCTTGCTCAAGAACCTGCACTGGCTCCCTGCTGCCTGTCACATCAGGCACTGCTTGGCTTTTAAGGCCCTCTGTAGTCTGGCTTTAAATTTCCAAGACACTCCAAACACAACCTCTCTGCTCAAGACAAATGACTTCCTGAGCTCAGACTTTGGGGCAGAGTCCGGGGGGAGTATGGTGGTGGGGAGTACTGGGGGAGACCAAAGGTCAAGGGACACAGACTTTGTAGCCTCTTAGGAAATGCAGAAGGCAAAGCCATGTACAGCAAGGAGAAATGGCTTCCCTCCAGGCCCAGCAGCCCTGAACTGTGACCGGAGTGGCCTGCTCTGACTGGCTCGGGTCCGAGGCTGCAGCCCCTGGGCTCTGACTCTGAATTTGCAGGATGCTCAGGTCACCCCCTAGCTCCAGGTTCTCTTGGGCTCCGCCCCCCCCAGGCCAGCCTCTCTGGCCTCACAGTCAGGCTCTGCTGCTACACAAAGCTGCTGGGTGGGGAATGTGGTCTTTCCCTTTGGCCTTCAGGCCACCCCCTAACTAGAGTTACCAGCAAGGGCTTTGGGGCCCGACACACTTAGATTTAACACTTGCTCTCCTACTTGCTAGCTGTGTGCCCTTGGGCAAGTTGCTGAACTTTCTGAGTTTCGGTTTCCTCATCTGTAAAAGGGGGGTAAGAATTTCTAACTGTTGTTGGTGTTCATGTGTGAGGTGCAGGGATTGAATGACATAAAGTGACTAACATTAGCTGTTGTTATTGCTGTCCTCCTCGTTGTCCCTCGGTCCTTTCATCCCTGCTGGGGCAGTTCCAGCTCCGTCTCGTGGTCCACTGCCAGTGCTAACAACCCAAGCGTTTCTGGAGGTCCTGCAACAAGCCTCCTTGCCCAGGTTGGATCACCTCCCGAGGGACGTTGAGCTGTTCTTCCTCATTTGTTAAGAGGGCGGCGCAGGCCTCCGCCACCCCCCTCAGCTGCTCCGAGCAGGGCTCCCGGCTTTTCCTCTTTGTGTGCTAGGCTGTGGTCACAGATGCATGTAGAACAGAGTTTAAGTCTGATGCGGAGACTCCGTGACCATTTTAAGGAGTGTCATGTTCTTACACAGGTGGCATGGGTCGTGCGGGAACCAGGGCCGGGCCTGGGTCAGACTGGGGGGTGCGAATAGAGAGGAGGCTGGAGGCCCCCCTGGGGCAGACCTTCCCTTTCCCACTGGCTCAGGGGCAGGGCTGTGCCTCATTCCCTCCGAGCCGAGCCGCGATGATGCCTATGGTGCCTATGGCTGTTAGCAGAAATTTCACTCCAGCCCTCCACAGGGCCTCCCCGTATTAATTAGTTAGCACAGTATTTGCATACATTTGCATTCTCCTCAGAATAGGCACTGAGCTAGGAATTCAGTGGGGCTTGTGGTCCGGCAGAGAGGAGTGATTGTTGGATGACAGCGGTGAAGCACAGACAGAAGCTGGTGGGGAGCCAGGACCGACAGCCCCTGGGCCGGGGCCTGAGTCCCCCCACCAGCAAGCACCCTTGGAAGAGCAGGGCTTGAGCCCAAATTCAACAAGAGTGAGGCCAGACCTTTGTGGGAAAACAGGCCTTGTGTGATCAAGGCGTTCCCCACCGTGGGACCTCTGCAAACACCCATTTCCCCTCCAGCCCTCCTCTCTCCGCACCCAGCTTGAGGAAGTCTCTTAAGCTCCATGTTTCAGATGCGTGAAGTGAGGTCTGGAGAAAGGAACGGGCTTGCTCTCCTGGTCCCCGGTCAGTAAGGAGAAGCCAAAGGCAGGTTTCCTAGCACCCTGCGTGGGCCTGCCCGTGCCCCCGCAGTCCATCCTCTGTGAGCCAAGCACTAGACACAAAGCTTGCTCTGTTCACCGAGAATTCCATTTTCCCCATTGTTCTCCACCAGGGACATTCCTGAATTGGTAAAAAAGGGACTGCATCAGCCTCAGGCCTGGCAGCCGGTCAGCTGGGAAAGTCAGAGACAGAGGGACTAGGAGACAGACAGTTGCCACCCAGGAACTGTGGTCAGGTCAAAGGAAGAGGGGCATCAGGGACCGAGAGGGTCCAGAGGGACAGCCCCCTTAGAGAGGGGGCAGCTGGAGCAAACAGGGGGCTGGCAGCATTCTGTGGGCCCAGAGCAGCTTGTGAGAGAGTCTGGGGGGTGTGGAGTAGGGGAGCTGGGGGAGGTGGGGAGAGGGAGAATTAGGTGGGTAGGTGAAGGGGGAAGGGCGTTCCACTCAGAACATGGTGTGAAGGGATTGAGACTAGTCGGCCATGGTGGGGGCCTGGGGGGTGGCGCTGCTGGGGTGGCCCTGACCCCTTGGGGACCCTGGGTCCTGGGAGCCGAGGATCTGGCCTTGTCCAGTGGGAGGACGGCCATTCTAACCTTTTCCAGGACCCACTTCCCTTAGGAGGCTCAGAAAAGCAGAAAACCGTCTTTCCCCTTGAATGCAGATGCCCACTTATATGCAATATTTTTGAGTTGGTTTTACTTTTTTATTGTGCTAAAGTACACGCAGCACAAAAATGACCATTTTTAACCAGTTGAAGTATGCAGCGCCGTGACATTAAGCACATGCGCAGTGCTCTGTGACCGTCGCCCCTGCCGGTTTTCCAGAGCATTTTCTTTCTCTCCAAAAAAACTCTGCGCCCCTAGAACACCTCCCCTTCCTCCCCCCAGCCCCTCCCTCACCTCTATTCCACTTCCTGTCTCTAGAATTTGCTGGTTCTAGGTAACTTTATACATTTACGATTTTTAGAGAACAGCTTCTTGGGGTAGAATTGACATGCAGCAAACTGCCCAGAAGCGCACTGCATGCTGGATTTTGAATGCACACACCATCACTCAGGTCGGGACTATATAAACCACCGCCAAAAGTTCCCTGGTGCCTTCGGAAATTCCTTCACCGCCCCCCCCCCCCGCCCCGCACCCCCACCCCCTCCCCTCCCCCTCCCCCTCCCCTCCCCTCCCTCCCTCCCCTCCCCTCCCCTCCCCTCCCCACCCCTCCCCACAACCACAGCTCTGCTTTCTTGGCCCACAGATCAGTTTGGATTTTCTGGAGTTTCATGTAAATGGAATCACACAGCGTGTACTCTTTCTCGTGAGAGGTCTGGTTCTTTTCATTCTGCACACTTATTCGGAGCTTTGTGCATGCTGCCGCGTCTATCAGTTGTGCACTCTTTCCATCGCGGAGTGCTCCGCTGTCTGGCTCCGCCGTCGTCGTTAATTTACTGCCTGCTGATGGACACTTTCGTTGTTTCCAGCTCTTGCTGCCAGTGAGTGGGACTGTACGGTGGATGTCTGTACGGCGAGCTTGCGCCCTGCACCCTTGCTGCTCCCGTTTGTCAGCACACCCTGTTCCCAGTTTTAGAGCGGGGAGCATTCCATTGTTCACCGTTTACTCTTAAGTTTCTCCTAGATGCCTCAGTGGAGCTGGCGGTGGCCTGGGCCGGGCTGCGGCCTGTTTACGTGCCCCAAGAGGGTCCCCCTCTAAGAAATGAAGGTAATGAGCCTTCCTCCCAGGACCTCTGTATTCAATGAGCTGCCGTGACAAGGCGCTTAAAGAGATGAGATGAAAGCGTCCAACAGCTGTTCGAACCCTGAGTACCGCGCCCCCCGCCCCCCCTCCCGTCCCCCCACAAGCCTTTTGACCTCCTGCCAGCGGTTCAGTCTCTCAGCCTCATGTCCTCTCTTGTAAAGCGGAGATAATGAGACCACAGATGTGGGGATGGATTAAGTCGTTGTCACTGCATAGAGGAGTGAGCAAGTGAGCTGCAAGCCTCTGGCAAGGTGTGTGGCACGTGTGAAGTGCTGGGTAAAGTGCAGGCATCACACACAGGTGCCCAGAGACAGTGTGGCTGCCGTGGAGACGGTCCTGGAGCTGGAGGAGCCTCAGAGGCGGCCAGGGGTGGAAATGCAGCAGCAGGGCCCGGAATCTGCCCTGCCCTGCGTGAAGTTGGCAGTGGTGGGTGTGTGAGCTGTGCTGCCTCCCAGGCGGGTGCCACCACTGTGCTGCCCTCAGGTACCAGCCAATGGGGCAGGGGGGCTCAGAGCTAGAGCTAGAATTGGAGCCCAGCTGCCCCTGGTCGTTGGGAGCAGTTTGCACCTTTCCAAAAGGTACTGCTCTCCCCAGGACTGATGCTAACTCTGGCTGCACACTGTGTAGGAGCTCAGAGAGGGAGCTGAGAGAGGAGGGAGGAAGCGGGAAGCCAGGGAAAGTCGGTGGATTCTCTCCTTCCCCTTCCTGTCCTTGGGAGCAGTTTTCCTCCAGCTTCGCCAGCTGCGGAGCGTTTAGCTGACCTATTTCTCCTGCTCTGTTGGCACTTGCGCATCTGGCCCAAATGTCCAATCCCTTCACTTGGATATTGCTCCCCAGATGTTCCAGTTTCCTGTGTGCCAAGCCAGTCCCTGGCTTGGAGACAGTGACGAGGCCCTGCAAGGCTCTGTCCCCTGGAGGCCGACCTTGTGGGGGGAAAACAGCACACAGGTGAACACAGGATGTCCAAGCGGCCAGTGCTGGGCAGAAGGGCCACGGGAGAGTGGCCAGGACTGACCTGGGGAAGTCAGGAGGAGCAGTTGGGATTTATTCCAAGTGCAGATTCCAAGAGTTTCTGGAAATGAAGAATGGAATGTGATTCTTACTTTACCGTCCGTCTTCCGTGATTTTGGGGGCCGTTGTTTAGAAGCACGTTTGAGGGGTTCTCAAGAACCGGAGGAAGGGCTGGTGTCCTCCAGGTCCCTCCTACACCCTTGTACCCGTCTCCCAGCTGCTGTGCAGTTGGTGGCGCCGCCACAAACAGCGAACCCCGCGTCCTTCTTCAGGGCACCTCGCCAGAGACACTGGAGAGGTTAACGCCACTCCACCCTCCCCCCCACCCAGGGGGCTGTTGACTGAGTCAGGGAGCTTAAAGTCCAGCCTCCTGGCCTCGGGTGAGGAGACTCTGCGGTGTTATTTAAAAATGCCTCAGACTTGCCCTTTCCTATCCCCCTCGCCTCACTCCCTCACGGCTTTCTCCTGACACCAAGTGCCTGTCTCAGGCTCTGATTCTGGGGAAGCCACCTCCAGACAGACCATGCATCCTGTGGTTTAGAAGTTGGGGTTCTGGGATGAGAGAGTTGTTCCTTGCAGCTCTGAAGTCTCCAAAACTGTGTGATTCACTGAACCACACAGCAAATTAGAAGACACCAGGGTCGCTGTGGTTCACCCGCCGCTGGGCTCCCACACACGCATCTCAGGTAAGAAACCCCTCCCCCACTCTGCTTTAGTTGTTCCAGAGACCTGTGTCTGGAACTCCACCCCCTCCGCTCTGTACTGGAATAGTTCACACTGAAGTGTGAAAGATTGGCAGCTCAGAGACAATGCATCTTGAAAAGAAGATGCTTGTTAATCCAAATACATTTTTTAATTCAATGGACCTTTTGTCGGGATGATAAAGTGAGCTGAAATGCACACGGTGCAGTCCTGTTTTTGAAGTCATGAAGGAGCCATCAGCAGACTCCCCAACTTTCCCAAGGATCAGCTTCCCCACCCCCGTTTCTGCATCTCCTCACCCTCCTCTGCCCACAATCAGACCACAGGTGTTGAGAAATGCACAGGTGTCCTCCTCAGGTTCCCACAGCAGGGCCTGTCAAAGGTGTGAGTCACTGGTGGGGAAGCTGACTCATCTAAAAAATAATAATATTGCCAGAAGTGCATTGTTTTAAAAGAACAGACCTATGGTTTGAGCTAAGCTACCTAATAAATGGCTTATTTCTCAGAAGAGCGAAAAACTGTGTATGATTTAATAAATTTCCCCACCGTTTCCAAAGGGTCGGCATCATTTGTTGGCTCAGGAAGGTCTGTGGTGTTGGTCTGGGGACAGCATGGGGAGGCACTCCTGGGGAACGGCAGCCACCCTGAAGTGGCTTCATCTCACCTGTAACCTCACTGTCGTGTGGCCCTGGGCAGGTCATTTACTTTGTCCCAGGCACAAAGTTTCCTCATCTGTAAAACGAATGGGATTGGATGCTCTAGAACCTTGTGTCTGCAGGTCAGTAGCATCTGCAACACGGGGGAGCTTGTCGGAAATGCACACTCCCGGGTGCCACGCTGGGCTCCCTGAGTCAGAACCTGTATTTTAACAAGATCCCCTGGCCATCTGTGTGCTCATCACGGCGTGAGGGACGCTGCTCTGGACCAGACTACTCAAATGCGGTCCTTAAACCAGCATATCAGCATCACCTGGGAGAAGCAGCTCGTTAGAAATTGATGTTAATGGACCCCCTCTCCCTGCCCCCACTGAATCTTGTGGCTAAGGGCTCGGCCTGGAAGCCTGCGCTTTTACAGCCTCTCCAGGTGGTTGCTAAGCAACACTGACCTTCCAGAAGCACTGAACACCGCTCTCTCTGAGGCTTGGCTGTGGGCAGTTGTTTTGTGAAGAGCTTGTTCTGTGCTGCGTTGCGACTTTCCGAAACGCTCACAGGCCAGCAGTTCATAGCAATTCTGTGATGTTGTTCTGGCCTTGTCTTTGCTCTGACAAAGATAAAGCTGGTGTTTAAGGGAGCTTGAGTGAGTTGTCCAGTCTTTCTATCTCACAACGTTTGCATAGCGATATTAGCATGAGATGTTTGGGGCCAAGTCAGTGGCTGTTATAGGGCAATAAAACTTGTAAATGTTTCATGTTACCTGTTTATAAATGACCCGCTCCTGGAGCGAGAGCTGGGGTAGATCTGATGGGTCTGCATCAAGGCTTAGTCAGCTCTTCCTGTGCATGTTTACTGTTTAGATTAGATAATACAATCCTGTGGTTTAAACATCCTGGAAAAGGGGACCTAGTTTATAACCGCCCACCACCGTCCTGCCCCAGGCGAATGTTTTTAGTTTGCTGGGTCCAACCCAATCAGTGCTGGTCCCTGGGAAAGCTGAGGGGCCTCCCCATGTGCACTGCCCCCATGGCCCCCCAGGTCTCTGGAGTCGCAGTACATGCGTTCTTCCAGTTCTCTTTGTCACCCTGACATGAAGTCCACCGCGTCACAGGTTTATTTAGGTTAACAAGCCTTTTTTTTTTTAAGGATGCACCATCATCCCCGGGAGGTTCTCCACTGCCAAGCATTCACACTTTATGTGCTTTATTCTAAAACAGGGTTTCTTTATGCATATACAAGCATATATATTTACCACCTCTGCTGAACTCATTTTACAAACTCGAGCCCACCCTGTTCTGCGCTTGGCTGTTTCGTTGAACGCATCATGATCATGCTGTGCCACTTACTGTGTGGCAAACACTCGGGTTGTTCCCAGTTTGCTGACAGACGCTGTTTGTACCTGGTGGCAGTTTGCACGTTGCTGCAAGTGTGATTTTGGGAGAGGTTGCCAACTTGCGCCCCTCCTAAGGTTAGTGCCAATTTACACCTCTGCCAGTTTTGGATGAGAAGTTATTGTTTCCCCACATCTTAGTCAATGCATTAAAATTGTCCCATTACTGGAGTTTTACCAATCTGATAGGTGAAAAACAGCGACTCAACTGAGTCTTAATTTAAATTTGTTATGAAAAGTTTTAAACGTACAGTATGTTTAAAAGGACCATCTCCCTCCCTCTCTCTCTCTCTCTCTCTCTCTCTCTGTTTTACTGTCTCACTCATGTTCTTGGCTTATTTTGAAAATTGGGTTGTTATGTTTTTCCTTTTTATTTCTGGGAGCTGTTTATCTATCAGGAAGATTAGCTTTTTGCCTTTGATGTGAGTTGCCTCCAGCTTAGAGTCTCTGTTTAACTCTGAGACGGCCGTTTGTTCCGTGTGCCCAGGTTCTTATTTTTACGCAGAGTGGCCAGTCATTGCTTGTGTGGCTTCTGAATGTTGAATCGTAGGTACAGAGTTCCTCCCCACTTCGAGGTAGTGGGACCTATCTTTTTTCCCTTCTATTATTTTACATTCAAACTTTGATCCAGTTGAAACTCACCCTGATGCTGTGGGATATAGGTCCCCACCCCCCCCACCCCCAGCTGGCGATCTCGGCCCTGCTGGAGCTGCCGTGTCATTAGCTGGTTATCACAAGCTCTTTTCTCATGTGTGTGTAGGTCTGTTTCAGAACTTGCTACTCCTCTCCACTGGTTCCTCCGTCCATGTTTATTCACGTTCCCACTGTTTTGCTTACTAAGCTTTACAATATTTAAAGATAATTTTTAGTGTACAGAAGTGCTGCTTTCTTATTTTCAGATCTTTCCCAGGCTATTCTTTTTTATTTGTTTTTCTATTTGAACTTTAAAATCGAATGTCTAATTACACCCGGGTTGGTGTTTTATTGAAATTGCTTGAATAAAAACTGAAGTATAAACAATAATTAAAATAAAATAAATAAAATAAAACTGAAGTATAACACACTTAAAGAAAAGTGAAAACATTGTTTGTGTGCAGCTTGGTGAGTTATCACAATGTGAACACAGAGTGAAATGTTTTGTTACCTAGATCTGGAATTAAAGATTACCAGAGCACAGAAGTACCTCCCCAACCAAGACCCCCATTACTCCCCCAGCCTATTGCAAAAAGGTAATAGTTATCTTTGCCTATTATGTCCTGGATTGGTTTTGCTGTGTTCTTTTTTTTTTTTTTTTTACTTTACATACTCATACACAGATGCTTTTACATCTGGCTTCTTTAGCTTAAAATTAAATATATTTTAAAAATTATTTACTTTTTAACTATAGCTGGCATACAATATTATATTAGTTTCAGGTGTACAACCCAGTGACTAACATTTATGTAACTTATGAAGTGGTCACCCCCGTAAATCTAGTGCCCACCTGCCCCCTACGGTGTTATTACAATGTTATTGACTATGGTCCTCATGCTGCACTTTACATCCCTGTGACTGTTCCGTAATGAGCGATTTGTTCTTCTGAATCCCTCCCCCTTTTCCAGCCAGCCCCCCGTCTGTCTGGCAACCGTGGAAATGTTCTCTGTATCTGAGTCTGTTTCTGCTCTGCTTGTTTGTTCGTTTCTCAGATTCCACACGTAAGGGGAGGCATCTGGCATTTGTCTTCCTCTGCCTGACTTACTCCACTCAGCACAGTGCCCTCCAGGGCCATCCATTCGCAGCCAGCAAGATTTCATTCTTTTTTTTTTTTTCCTGGCTGAGTTGTATTTCAGTGTATCTATGCCACCACTTCTTCTTCGGCTCAACATTACATTTGTGAGGTTTATATGCCCGTTCTCTTGTTGATGCACATTTAAGCTGTACTGGTTTTGGCCGTCACGCGTGGCTCTGGGTACCCATATGTGCACATCCCTGTTGGGTGTTTACTTGTGAGCGGAATTCCTGGTCCCTGGGGTACGCGTGTGTTTGCCTTCGGAGAAACACTGCCACACTGTTCCTGTGTGGACGTGTAGCAACTGGCGCTCCTTCCAGGGATGTCTGAGAACTTCAGTTAATTCCTGTTCTTGCAGCACTTGGTTTTGTTGGCTTTTAACATTTTAATTTTTCACTTCTTGAGTGACTAATGAGGTTTAGTGCTTTGAAAATACATATGTATTGGCTATTTAAATATCCTCTTTTGTGAAATGTGTTGGGATTTCTTTAAATTTACACATTAGCTTCAGAACATGGACATACCTATAATGTCGAATCTTCCTATCCAGGAACATGGTGTGTCTTTCCATTTGTTTAAATCTACTTTGTCTTTTAGTATTGCTTGTAGTTTTTTGTAATATAGCTTGCATATTTTTTGATAAGCTTATTCATAGATGTTTGATCTTTTTTTCTAAATGGCTATTGTTTGTAGTTATTTCATAGTTGATTCTCTTAGATGCACAAGTCTTGTAAGTGTATCAACTATAAATGGAAATAACTTACCTCCTCCCATCCAGGTCTTTATTTTTATTGAAGTATAATTGACATATGACATTATATTGATTTTAGGTATACAATATAATGATTTCATATATATACAGTGAAATGATCATTACAATAAGTTTTATCTCACGTGGCCCCCACTGGGGACCTGGCCTATGTACTCAGGTCCCCAGGCAGGGCACTCAGGCATGTGTCCTGACTGGGAATCGAACCAGCAACCTTTTGGTTCACAGTCCGCGCTCAATCCACTGAGCTACACCAGCCAGGCCGATTCCTTCTTTATTGAAGTTTTTTTAAAGTAAAGGTGTTGACTTTTGTCAAATGCTTATTCAGCATTTGTGGATCTCCTAGGATCTACTATATATATTATGCTATATTAAGAAGTGTCCTAATATTGAGCCATCCTTGC